AAATCTCATTAACATTAAAAATGTCTTTTGTAAGAGTAAGTTGGCCAAGAGAACAGCAGAAATGGCAGCAAATATTACAATAGTTCTGTAAAAATATTTTAAACGAGGATAAAGGACCGGATTGGTTATAATGTAAGTACAATAACACAGAGCTGTAAAGATACTTGAAAAAACAGATAATTGTTCAATTCTATATATAACCCCTTTGTAAACGCTGTTCATCGAAGTCTATTTACCAACATACATAAAGATATTACACATAAAAAAATACACGGAAACATTGGAAATCGGTTTTTGGCAGGCAATCACTTTTTGGCACAACAACGGCACTACGTTGCCTGGCGGAAGGATCGGGGTTCAAGAGTGGTATGTTGGTCACATGTCCGTCCGCCAGGCAACGTAGTGCCGTACGAAGTAGCGCGAAAAACAAACTTCAAAGTAGCGCTATGCGTTCAGCGGGAGGCGTGGATGACGAGCGGCGATAAATTTGCGAAAAGCAAGTTATGCTCAAGTCCACCAGTGGATTCTGAAATCTATTTTTCTGGTGTGCTGTAGGTTATTGTTATGTACTACATTTGTTACTCATTTATGAAGCACAGTACATGTTTTGTACTTGTATTTACCGCTACTTGTACATATACCTAAAACGTTATGCAAATATGTACCCATAACTTGTTTTTCAAAATATTAATAAAAGGGATGTCTGCAAACAGCCATCTCTTTCCTGACAATTCCCTTTGTGCATATTCTCTTACATATGATAAGTCAACATTGAAACACCGGCAGCTTTTAGTCAGGTGCGGCTAATGTATGTACAAAACAGGATTTTCCCCTGATTTTAGCTTGTGCGGCTAATATTCGGGTGCGCTTTGTAGTCCGGGAAATACGGTAATACTAAGAATAATGTTGGTTGTGTTAACATCAAAAAGAAAGTTTTGTCAAACGAAGCTCGACTGACCAAATGCAAATTAGACCATCAGGAAAAAACTATATTCAGCAGAGCCTGTTCTTTAAAACTCTTTTCTGTGGTTTGGTTTTCATGATCCAACCAACTACAATCTGTCTTTTCTGGCTGGCTAACATTTTCCTCAGACAAACTGTAAGACAGACACATAAGCTGTCACACTTGGCAAAATACTGTGCCGAGTGCTTTTTTAAAAACTTATCTGACCAGTTTTAAATTACTTTGTATGCTTACATTATGATCTAATTGTCAACAGATTCACATAAGCTAGCTAAGTTAAAGCTAGCTGTTTACCGATTGAATACATGGAGACTGGATGAAAAGAGAGTCAAACAAATAGTCTCATCAGGATCTGAGGCTAAACTGCTGCCAAAATCATGAGAACAAATTAAAGTGCGTTAGCTGGCCAAATTATTTCATTAGCTAATGTGTGCTGTGATCTTAACGATTGATTTTAGCTACTATGTAATGCTAACATTTCATCTCCAAAATGTTGGTCAGGGAATGACATCTTCTGACTAATTCCATACTATTAACCACACAAAACAGTTCTCTATACATTTCACCTTTCGACCTCTAGTTTATGTTTTAGATTTGCTGCATGCAAACTGTATATATATCTTCATAATCAGATTTTCCTATGCAATAGTTTAAAACACCTCATCAACGCTGCTGGTTGCTGGCTTTTCTATATCAGTCGCTGGTTACTGGTTCAAGTGAAAACAGATGTTAAAAGGAAAAAGTACAGGCAGTAATTTATTAATTTTTGTTCACAATTGCAGTTATTTACACATTTGAAGGTGTTTTTCAAAGACGCAGAGGACAGCTAAGTGTAATGACTTGGCTACATTAAGAGTTGTTTGTAAAAGAGGTGTTGTAATCATGTTTCCCTTCAAGTAGATGAAAGAACAAATTCCCAGTTACCCATCTCCATCACAAGCTTTAATCCTCTCATTACGAGCCTAATGCATCCATTTATGTCCTCATTTCAGGTGTGCACTACCGAAAGTCCTGTGCCTCATCTGGAGCTTGTCTTATCGCCTCTTCTGGTTACCAGCAGTTCTGCACCGGGAAGCTCAACTCGGTCTGCATCAGCTGCTGTAACACACCGCTGTGTAACGGACCACGCCAGAAGAAGCGACCCCAGCCATCTGCTGCCATCACTCTTAACACGCCACGGCTTCCTGTGCTTTCCTTCAACATCATCATCCTACTTTCCTCTTTCCTGTGCTGACAGAACTTTCCTAAGATGTGCGTTGAAACAAACTGAAACTGTACACGCTCTGCCATACATGCTTTGAAATGTATACAAGAGAAGGCTTTTTACAGCATTTGTTCTTGAGTCCTGGCTTTCTGTTGCAACAAAAACGACACAATAGCGGACAAAGTTATTGCCATGTGTCATGTCGTGAATATGGGTAAGATGTGGTGGATAAAACAGCTTCCAGCAGAGGGTTCATGAACGTCTGCAAGGTGGAAAAAGGCAGACAGCAAAAATAGCATGTGTAATTTCCAGAATAAATCTCTTATTTCTGCTCTATGAATAGGAAAAAACAAGTTTTGCAGTGTATTCACCAACTGAAACAAAACATGTATGACATCTCCCAAATGAACATGACTTATTTAACCTCTTGGCATCTACCATGTTGTTAACAAACCACTTAGAGGTGCGATTAGAATTGGGTTGGAGAAGAGGCTGTTACCTTTAAAATCAGTTCTTTATATGGGTTTTTTGCCTTTATGTTCTGTTAATTTGGTATAATTTGAACTAAACAGGTTCTGATTCCACATAAAGTTCACTAGTGACCTTTTGGCATTGAGAGGCTATTGGAAAATTAAATGATAAACAAACATAAAATAATAGAAAAACATTTTCTTTTTAATTTTAACAACCATTTCAGCCTCTTAGCAGGTGTTTTACAGTGTTTGGCCAAACAGAAATTTGATAAACACCTTTGAAGAAGGCACAAATTTGCCGTGGCATCGTTTGAATTAACATTTATTTCCTTCCAGATTTTCATTAATC